GGACCCTCCGCTGGGTACAGTCTAATCTCTTTGATTACTGTATTTTGTATTTTTACTGTACCGATCTGTATGTCATCTATGCATGCTGTAGCGTTCATAAGAAATATACACATACACATATATGTCGTCACAAACCTGCTGGTGTTATATTTCTGGATTAAACTAATAATGAAAATACCTAAATATCTAACAGCTCTGATCCCAACTCCCAAGGGTTGTTGATTCAGATGCTGAGATGCAGTTGTAGGTGGAAGTGAAACAACGCCCAAGAAACGGCGCCGTGCCCAACTCAGAGCCGCTTCAAGAGCGCGCGCCGCCGCCACCGTCGACCGAGCGCGGGCCGAACCTGCGCCCGCGGCCCCGGGTGCCGCCGAGTAGGGGCTGGGGGATGTGAACGTCGTAGGATCTTAGTGGTATGATAATATTAAAATTGTAGATTCCATTTACTGCAATTTTGGTAGGCGTAATCCGCAATTTTTGGTACCAAGAATAAAAACAAACTGTTAGACAAAACTATAAATTCAACAAAATCTGATTTTGGTTGGCACAAAGACAATGAACAATTTATAATTATTTCTATAGGATGATAAGGGCAAAAATTTAATGTGCTATGACACAGACAAATAACAAAATAACAAAAGTAACAATTTACTTGTACTAGTTGGTAGCTGTAACATCCCCGCCTAAATGAGCCGAATTGGGCCAAATTGAATAGTGCTAGGCCGCGCGGTAGCTCTAGGGGGTACTGTAGTCACGAGCACTCGTAGCACCGAGCTAGGATGGGGCACAATTGGGGGTACTGTAGCTACAGTAGCATCTCGGAGTATTGTTCACCCGCGGTTTAGTACTTATCGGAAACTGAGGGACGGCCAGACCGACCTAAATAGGCAGGGCAAGAACGCGTAGTAATCTTCGATTAACCGTTTTGCGCGAAGCGAGAACGAAAGCGCAAGCGGGTTGCTACGTAGGTGGGACCCACCTCTCGGAAAGTGGGCCTAGGCCATGTGCCGGGCCTAGGGCGTTACAGTAGTACAAGAGTGTTGTCTGAAATCAACTTAAAATTTAGGCACCTAAAATATAGGAGAAGTGTAAAAATAAATATGCCTGAAATGTAGGAGAAGTGTAAAAATAAATAAGTACAATCCATGTAATTAGTTCTGTTCCTTCAGTTAATTTGATCAGCCGAGAGTAAGAACCAAAATAACCATTAAAAAATCCAATTTTAATATTGTCTCGGAGTGAACAGGGAACTGGTTTTTTTTTGTTCCGATTATTTTATTTCTAGTTCCTGTTCTTTCGGGTACTCTCTCCGTCCTAAAATATTTAATGTTTTAGGTTTGGACACGAAAATTAATAAGGAGTGAAAAGGTGTGGCGTACAGAAAATAATGAGAGAATAGAGATAGATATGTATTGGGAAAGGAAAAATATGTATCCTCAGAAAGAAATGTACATGATACCGGTAAATGAAAAGATCAAGTATTTTTTATATAAAATTTGAATCCTATAAGACCTAACCAGGCCAGCACCGTCAGTGCTCCGGCAATATCCTCCTCCACGTTGACGTGGGCTAACTTTAGGCGGGCCGGGCCGGCGAATGTTCCGAGGCAGGAACGAGAGCCGATCTAGACAGAAGACGCATTCCTCGGTGTCTATTTTCTTTTGTTTCTCTAATTAAAAAATAGATAACAAAAATAAAAAGCGCGTCCAATCGCTAGGGTCAAGCCGTCTAGGTGACAGTGACACAGTGCGACCAGCCGCCGCTGCTGAACGCGCCTTCCCTAGCTAACCGTTTCTCCGGATGGATCAGCCACACAACGACGACGACGACGACGACGACGCTCTCCGGTCCTGTATATATACGGGGCCATTACGATCATCTTTCCGTCCACCTCCACCTGCTCTGCTTCTTCCGCTGGTCGTCCTGTTCTCGCGTTGCATTCCACTGCTGCAGTGCTTCTTGGTAGTCTAGCTCCATCGATCTTTGATCTGCTAGCTGCTGATCCATCGATCCATCCACCATGAGCTACCAAGCAGGCTACCCGCCACCGGGCCAGCAGCAGGCCTACGGCGCACCCCCGCCGCCGGCCTACGTCGCGCCACCGCCGGCGTACCCGCCGACCCAGGACGGCGGCGCGTACTACGGCCAGCAGCAGCAGCAGACCACCAGCCGCGGTGGCGACGGTTTCTGGAAAGGATGGTGAGCAACTAATATGTCTTTGTATGCTAACAACACCACCCTCCAGATGATGCGCTCTGATCACCTAGCTTTCTTCTGATCACAGCTGCGCGGCCATCTGCTGCTGCTGCGTCCTCGACATGTGCTTCTGAGCACGACGACGACGACGACGTCGATCCACCGGGGCAGCTGCTAGCTGCTCGTGCTCCATCGCCCTGCCCTGCAGGGCACGCTAGCTGATGGCCGGCGGTTGATGACCATCAGGCCATCACGTGCTGCTCTGCCCCTGCTATGTGCCTGTGTCTCATACATATATATTCTACTCGTACCTAGAGTTACTCGTCTTCATATTCATTCCTGTTGTTGTACACCGTGTATGCATGTGTTGGGTATTTGTTGAGCCATTCTTTTGTGATGCTAAATATATGCTCCTCTTGCTTTGCGCCATCCGCTATTCCATTCCACGATACTATTCGATCGACGTTCGTTTCATTCAATTTCGTCCTACTTAATACCTGCATTTCCTTTCGGTTCAGGTCCAGCTATATATGTCATGTATTTTACCCACACTTCCAACATAACTGAAAAAGGGAAAATAGACTAATAATATTATAATAAACCTGACACCACATGCCGTTAATTTTCATGATGCTAAACCGCTGATTGCTCGACGAGCGAAAGTTGAATTTGACCATCTTCCGTTCTGGTCAATTCAGAAGAATAATCTACAGCACCAAAGGAATTCAGCTCTCAGAAATGAAGAAAATCATGGTAAACTGAGTAACTGACAAATGTCACACCTGCCCTGCCCATGCTCTGGCCTCTCCGCCTCTAGAACTAGAAGAAGTAAACAAATATAACTCCGTGCACGTTGGAAGCCTGTATAGACATTGACGACCCATTCCTTCCTGGAGATTCAACGGGAGAAAGCCACCAAACGCACCAAAGCTGCTTCAATCCAAACACAAGACCAACCAAACCCACTACATACAATGAGACAAACACTTGGGTCTCGCCGCAAGATCCTCCTTCTCAGCCATCACAAAGTGGCCAAGTTGATGACGACAAAATGTATTAGATAGTAACCATAGCTACTTCAGCAGTTCCCAAACATCATAGCTAGCTACCACTTCTGCAGTAAACTTAACGGAGGCGGGCAAAACCTATTAACGGAGGCGGGGGAAAACCATCCGCCTCCGTCAGCAGTTCCCAAACATCATAGCTAGGTATACACTGAAAATGATACACCTTTGTTTGACAAAGAAATGTGGTTCCTCATTTCTTTCTTCTATTATTTGGCTTTACATTGACAGTTCGGCTGGACTCGAGCGAGCACAGATGTTTTCGGCAAAACAGAGGACTCATCATAATATATCAAGCAGAGCATCATAAGAATTGTAGCAGCACAGAATCCCAACAGTACCCAACAGGCCTCATGTCTGTTATTTCTCTAGCTAACTTTGGTGCTCTTGTTCATTTCCCCAGCTGTGGCTTGACATGGTCACCATGATCATTTGGGTTGCATTTCTATCCTTTTTGTTTTATATTATACACGATCTGTCCCAAATAAACAATATGTCCATTGACGCAATGTGTTGCTGCCAATGGTCATGCCGTCCTGTGATACGTAATGATAGAGTGGAGATTTCTGTCGTGGTTTGTATCGTTGATTCAGTCAATGTTCTTAATTATATCTGGTGATGCTGCCTGTCTTTATGTTATTCTGTTCTATTCAATCATAAATTTGGTACAGAATTTGAATACATATGACATAAAAAAACAATAATGCACAGCTTGTGCATGGTTGGCCTGAAGTATTCAGGCGATGAAAGTGAGTATGCCTGTAGGTTTAGTTAATTAGCCTGATAGAGTTCAACCTGTTCTCTTCGCCTAGTCCCCTAACGGCTCAACCCAACCGTTTTAGACGAAACCATTTGACGGTCAATCAGAGGAACATTCCTTGTCAGCGGAATTCAACCCTCGGTGAACAACAAAGAATGTCAAACAGACGATGAATTTGAACACAGATTCAACCTGTATTTGCACCCTGTATGGACCGATTCCAACTTAGAGAAACAACAAAATGAAGCAAGCAACCTAACCCCAAAGCTCCAACCAAACTATACCCAAACGCAAGACCAACCTAACCCATCATCAGAGTCCATGGGACAAGCATACAGACCTTGACCATAGCCTTCATGTCTATATGATCCTACTTAAACATAAGATACAGCTATGTATATACTTCACAACCATCAGTAGTAGTCAAGTTGATGTCAACCCATATTGATGCTAACCATAATGTATTAGCTATATAATGAAGAAATGGAGCCCTTAATTTGTTTTCTTTCTTGGTTAGCTTAGCTGGAAAATTTGGATGAACAGGGGTAATAGTCTATTTTCAGAAAAATTGTGACCCTACATTATACCAAGCTACGTAAAAAAAAAGGGCGTACCCAGTACAGAGAGCTCCCGCTCTGTGCGGGGTCTGGGGAAGGATGTCATGGCAAGCCTTACCCTCGCCTGTGCAATGCGAGGAGACCGCGACTCGAACCCGGGACCTTCCGTTAGGAGACTAGGCGAGGAGACCAAGCTACATAGCACTACATATTTGTAAAACCTGTACGAGCACAAAGTCAAGGGTATGCTACTCATTTTAAGGAAAGTGGTTGTATTCCCTGTTGCTCGATAACAAGGAACAATTGTCATTCTATGCAACAACTATGAGGTTTCAGCACTTTATTGAAATAAAGTTTGAAATTGCACTGTACATTGAACATTGTCATTGTCATCCTCACCATCGTTACAACCAGCAGCATTGGCTAATTCTTCTTGGATTTAAGTTCTCCAATCCTTTCCTCTGTGGCCTTCAGGGCATCACCAAATTTGCTTATGATCTAAGAGGTCAGTCAGATTTTTGTTAGTTTCATGTTGGTTAAATGATTATATCGGTAAGGCAGAAGTGACTGGACAATGTAAAATGGTCTCACTTCTTCAACTTCATTGGGAGTCATGATCAGTGGGGGTGACAGCATGATGCTATCGCCAGCCACCCTGATGAGCATCCCACGCTTCTCACACTCAGCACCAAAGATCGAACCAACACCTGGAGTTACCAATCATAATAAAATCAATATACTATCACCATCAAATAACTCAGCACGGTTTCTTTTAACTCTGGGACAGTGACAAATTTTGCCTTGATATGCTACACTAATTCATGAACATTAAGTCTTCAGAGAACATTCTGGGCAGCCTTAAAGTTGGATTATTTCTAAAATTGTTTGAAAATGGGACACGAAATCAATAAAGTAACAAACCCCATTCAGCTGGGAATGGATCAGTTGGAGATTTGTTGTCAACAAACTCAGTTCCAAGTATCAGTCCCAGACCACGTATCTGTATGGAGGAGCGCCCAATGTATCAGTATAAATAAGAAAGGATCCCCTGAAATATATAAAAATAAGAATTTACTCATTTAGATGTGTACCTCCCCAACAATTGGGCTTCCTGAGAAGGCCTTGATTCCCTCCTGGAACCTTGGAGCAATCTTGTTAACATGTTCTATAATATTCCTTTCCCTAACAGACATTATATGAAGGATTAATCAGACACATACGTTGACAGAAAAAGGAGTATTTTCCATCACTAGATAGAGTTATTTACTTATATATCTTCAAGGTTTCTACAGCAACAGCACAAGAAACTGGATGTCCCGAGTATGTAAAGCCATGAGCAAAAGAACCTTTAATAAAGAAATGTGCCTCTTGTCAATATAGTAGCAATAGAAAAAATGAGTTTACATGATGGGATTAGATTTACCAAGTTTATTGCTCTGCGAATAGATTACATCCGTTATTTCTGGGCTAACAAGAATTGCTCCAATTGGCATATATGCAGAAGAAAGAGCCTGTTAGGGGAAAAGTGCATTAAGTTCTCCATTAATTTACAAAAAAAAAGTACCCTTGTAAATAATAAGTACTCTATATTGAACTAACCTTAGCTATGGAGACAAGATCTGGTTTAATGTTATACATATCACATCCAAACATTGTCCCTAGTCTTCCAAATGCAGTAATGACCTAAACCAGATGTTGACTTAGTAAATTCTCAACCTAGCAATATCCTGACTTTTCCATTTTTCTGGAGACATATATTACCTCATCCGCAATTAACAAGATGTCATACTTCTTCAGAACTGCTTGAATCTGTTTAGAGGAACAGAATTTCATAAGATCAAAAGAGGCAGCAATGCAGCATGGCAGCAAAAACATTTAACCTGAAACAACCTAAGCTATACAAATTGCACTGAGAAACACTTTTCTTTTTGTAAAAGTATAACAATACAAAGAAGTTGGCAATGCAAGGAATATGTTATTACAACATAACAATCAGAAACACCTTCTTTCAATAGTGAGATAAATGACAGAAAAACTGGAGAGAACATGCAGTGATAATTGGATCCTCGATGCAAGCCTTGATTCAGACATCCAGAGTGAAGAATGATACAAAATGTTGGTGTAATTAGAACATCTGTAAAGGGACTTTGTGCAACTGGTGGAATAAAAGGAGAGAGTGTGAGTGAGGCACACAGTAATAAGCTCCCCAAATCGACACAAAGAATTACTTTTACGTTCCAGTTAATGGAAAGAATGTAGTGCGTTTATGATTTCCTTCTTAAACTAAGTCTTAGCGCTTGTTTGAATAAACCCATTCCATCCCAAATCCCAATACAGGTTCCTTCGGTTAATTCCCCCAAACCTCCCCTTTAGTCCCCTCCGGACCTAAAAAGCCCTACATGTGGATTCAAGAGGGAAATGAACTCCTCAATCCCTCCCAATCCACATGGTAAATGGGTTTATTCAAACAAGCACTTAATGGGATGAAAGATCTGGTTCCAAATTCCATGTAGGATTGGGAGCTAAATCCAATTAAAGTCAATGTTTGTGATGTTGAAAAGATAATCACAGAATTGCAGTAACCCTTGCTATGTTTTCTTAGGAGTCATGAAAAAAATTTGTGTCACATACTGTTGTAGATCACCTTCTCAAAATAGGTCTTTGGAGGAAGGATAACACCACCAGCACCCATTACAGGTTCAGCAATGAAAGCAGCAATCTGAAAAGGGCAAAGACAATAAACATTTTTGAAACATATGTAAAAGTATAAGAACGGTTCTTCCATTATCAAAAAATATATAGATAGTATTTTACTGTTTCAGGTCCTTCTTTGAGGATAAGATTCTCCAAATTGTTTGCAAGTCTAGTTGAAAACTCTTCTTCTGTCTCATCTATATCGAAACAGAATCATTTAGTAAGCATAACATCCTGGGGGGTATTGTACATAAAAACAGTGGAATTGGGGTACCAGGAAGACGGAATCGCCAGTAGTGAGGGCAGTCTGTGTGCAGGACAAAAGGTGCTGGTAGATCGAACTTTTGATGAAGCGCTGGCAGACTACAGATAAAGAAAAATTTGTGACAAATACGTGTGAACTGACTCAAATTAGAACAACAGAACATATGGGATAGTTTGGTTACCCTGACAGACTAGCTGCAATCAAGGTTGATCCATGGTACCTGTAAGAACAAAGAAGAAGAAAGGTTGTAATGTCATTCAAAATACTTCAAGATTTTGTTAAAATCAAACTAGAAAGCTTCAAGACTAGAAAATATTAGCACTGAGATAATACATGAATGCAGATGGATAACAATTATGGAGTACAATTTAGACGGTCCTTTTTGTTGCTAATTACAATACAACAAACATGAGAAGGTGCATGTTGTGACCCTATAATCATCTGGAACTGATACACAAAGCAATTCTACTGGCCTTCAAGTCAATATGGTATATTCTTCCCAAGTTATCAACCAATAAGTGATTGAATTGGAGTATCAAGTAAAGATAGACCAAGATTTGCAGTGATAAAAATATCTGCTGAAGACAGTAGACTAGAGAAAGGAAATGGGATCTCACGATTTTGAGCGAGCAATAAATTTCTTCTTGTCTGGCCTTCCCAGTGCATTGTTATAATACCACACTAGTTTAACCTGTTAAAGAAAGCATGTATGTCAGCCCATCTGGAAAAAAAATACCATAGGAAGATCAGCAGGAATGGAGAAAATAAGCAGCAGTCATAAACAGGAATCATTAATGTAGCACTTTTTAGCATGTACAGGTAATTGCTCAAAAGGATGAAACAGAAGCAGGGATGGAGCCAAAACTTAGGCAGGAGAGGTGCTAAGTACACTGCTGACAACAATGTGATTAAAAGCATGTTTGATTACATTTATAAATGAGTTGCATCAAGCTACTAAAATAACATATTCTTTGAACATTTTGTGCTCTTGGGCCGGTGCTGCAGCCGCGGCAGCACTGACCCTATCTCCGCCCCTGAACAGAAGTGTACACACCGTAACCATCATATTGGTAATGTTTCAGTAAAATAGAATATAAAGTCTAAATGGTTAAACTAGAATATAAAGTTATTTACCAAATATACATTGTTTCATATTATTTACACTCGAGAAGAGATTTTAGAGATAAAGGGCCACTGTTAAAATATTACTGGAAATAAACTCCAACAAATGATCAGTATTTTATTTATCAATGATCATACCTGGGAGTCATTTGCTTCTGAACCACTATTTGTGAAGAACACCTTTCCCATTTCCCTTGCAGTGAACATGCTGAGAATATCATTTGCAAGGTCCTGTAACGATATTGGCAAGGCAGTATTAACTATCAAGGCTTGCAAACTAGCAATTTATCAACATAATAAGAAAGCCAAAGAGATGCATTGATCCACATTAAGATCCCTTGTTTCTTTAATGGAAATGATGTGTAAGACAATGGAAAAGTTTGAAACAGAAAATCATCAACAAAAATACGCTATTCGGAGATGGATGATAATATGTCAAAAGTATATTACCAATGAGGGTTTGGTTGTACGGTTCCAAAAGGAATGATAGAATGGTAATTTGTTTAATTGCTCAGTTGCCGCTTTGACTAGTCGAGGCTCATTACCACCTGAAAACAATGTGAACAGTGTATACAAATTTTAAGTCTAACAACATGCAATGTAGCAGACAGAAGTGTTATTGGCAATGTTCAGAACATTCTTTTCAAGTCACACAAACCACTGTGTCTTTGATGCTGTATTTTCCTAAAAAATGGGTCAAATCCTTTTCGTCTAATAAATTTTGCGGCAATGATCTTGCTGCCCTTTCGGAAAAAAACTGTCTTTGATGGACACAGGCCATTGGTGCAGCAGGTCATGCAGGAGGCAGGCGAGCAGGAGTTGCCTTGACCATCCCCGGGCCGGGGCCAAGGATTTGTAAGTTAGGCCGTGGATAGGGGCAGTTCAGCATGTATTTGGACCATGTTTTCTACCTTTAATATAAATGATGTGCAGTTCTTCTGCGTGTTTGAGAAAAAAATTCACACAAACACACCCGAGTAAGAGCCAATACCCACCCCCATGCCCGACTAACATTGTGAATATGTTACAGTTACCATGATGCAGTTTGTGTGCCACCGGTCAGCGGTCACGGTGTCACATCAGTAATAAAAGATACTGCATCTTTAGTCTTTAGAGGTCGACAATTGACTTGTATTAGCTGATAATTTTGTTCATTATCTTTGCAGCAGAGTTTTATCCAGTGTGAGCAGTCAGTGAGTGTCAGTCAATTTCCACTGAAGTACAGTTTCAGTCAATTCCAGGAGTATCTTTGTTCTATTTGTTTTGTTGAAAGTTTATCAACAGACAATACTATCTATTTTTTACTTGTATTAGCTGATAATTTTGTTCATTATCTTTGCAGCAAAGTTTTATCCAGTGTGAGCAGTCAGTGAGTGTCAGTCAGTTTCCACTGAAAGTACAGTTCAGTCAATTCCAGGAGTATCTTTGTTCTATTTCTTTTGTTGAAAGTTTATCAACAGACAATACTATCTATTTTTTACTTCACTACATTGCAAATCTGGGAATCAATCATATAGATTTCTCCAAATCTGCCACCAAAGTTTCCACATACCTAAAGCTGTACACCACAATCCCGCAAGAGCATCAATATACTTCTTCCCATTGATGTCATAAACGTAAGAACCCTGCAAATGAGCCACAATTTGTAAGGCGCCACTGACAACCACTGCAATGTGACGAACAAACATGTAATATCTATTTTCAAAATCCTGTACTGCATTGTAACAAGGAACCAAAAATTGCACAAAGTAAGAGCGCATAACCTCTGATCTCTCTATAACCAATGGATGTAAATCAGTGCTCTGCCATCCTGCTGTGAATGGAGCCAGCATGCTATGCCCCTTAAACCTGACATACAAAATATATTTTAGCATAAACAGAACAAATTATATCTGCACACACGTCACAACCTAGCTCACAGTAAACTGTCAAATTCTGCAGATGGAAACTTTACACACCCATTTTCTTCTGTCGCCTGAAGTGAAGGTTCAGAACTGTAATATCTGGCAGGTGACTCTGAAAAACTGTCCCCTTGCAAGCTTCTAGCACTAGCAATGTATTTCACCAGCCTGCTAACCTGCGTGACGGCGTGAGGAAAAGTGATCAAAGAAAAATAAGAGGGGATCAGATATAATAGCTAAAAAGGACACATTGACTGAAACAAAAACGATTTCCAGTGTCCTGAACTACTCGAGGTCGAGCGTCAAAACTGTCCGAAAGGAAGTCATGATCTTGAACCAAGCAATTACAGTTTCAGTTCACGCCAGGAGGTTTTATAACAATATGGAGAATGGAACTAGCTGCATCAACACAAAAGATTGAGTCCACATAAGCTGCTCAACTCTGCTCCATCGGCTGCTCGGGTCGAAGAAAAAAACAAGAAGTCCTTCCTTATTTTTCCCCTCTGCCCTTAACCTAACTAAAAACCTTATCTACATCTTATTTCTGACCCCCAAAAGATTTGAAAGTAAAAATAAAGAAATCAGCTTTTTAAGTTCGTGCACACCGCTAGGCCAGAAAAAACAAACATGGTTGAGGACACAGCCGCCTATATCCGGTATCCGCGATCGGCGACCGTGATCGAGAGGTCATCACCTGGGAGGAGGCGGCGCTGGATCTGCGGAGGCCTTGTGCGATCATCTCGTCTCGCCGGGGCTCCGGTTCCGCCAACCTCCTCACTTCACTTCAGTTCACGGGTTCTTGGAAGTTGACAAGCTCTGGGAGGAGGACGGGGACGTGGTGGAACTTTATCCCGTCGATTTCTGTCGCATCCGAAAATTGCGGGCCCCGGGGGACAAGGAGCTAAAGATTGCTACGTCCATCCTGGAATCGCACACGCGTACGTGCATATACAATGAATCTGCCCTGAAATCTAGCTTGTGTTCGGCCATGGTTGGTTATGATTTAGGACTCGTTTGGCACGACTCCATTTTACCTATAAAGTCTTTTTTTAGGGTTTCAGCTCCATGAACAGTTTTATGGGTGGAGCTGTAGCCGTTTTGATAAATCGTTTGGCAAAACAGTTTCACATATAGTTTTTCTTAAAATATGCTCTTAGAGAACGCCATATAGAATGAGGTGAAGCCGAGAGAAGCCATTATTTTTTGCTTCTTCCCATCCAAAAGCTCTGTGAGAGCACGTTTTTAGGAGTTTCATCGGTGGAGCCGTTTTATTTTACTCCATTTGACAAAAAACGGCTTCAAACGGCTCCTGAAGCCGCTAGAGAAGTCCTGCCAAACGGGGTCTTATATGAAGTGAAAAGCAGGTATTATATTTATTATCACATTTTATTAATCCCAAAATCCAATCCATATAAACTGTTTTAAGTCTTCAAAACCTAGCTTTTCAAGGAGCCATAAAAATATTTTTTAAAAAGTAAACGGCCAACGAATACGTCTTTAACAGCCTGTTCGCTTGTTCGTAAACGATGTAAATTTTCAGCCGGAAACAGTATTTTTCTCTCACACCAAACCAGCCAGCAGTAAATAATCCACGATACGATACGGTCTCCCGAACAGGCTGTAAACTAACACTAAACCAACACACACACATATATATATATATATAAACACCACACCAGACCACACCAGACCACCAGACCATCATCGGCATTCAGCATCGATCAAACCACCAGACACCGCACTCTCATCCACTCCCCACTCCACCAACTCTCCACTCACACATACACCATGAAGACATGATCTCAGAAGCACTCTAAGGATCGTCCACCTATAGTAGTAAATCACCCACTACCGTTGTGTCACTCCACCTTTGTAAATTATAGAATAAGGGACGCCCCCGTGTTCCTCCTATGCTTATAAGGTAATCCCTAAGGTTTGTGCTAAGTGCTTGGGGTTTCCCGAAAGGGAAAGCCGTATATAAGCTTGCTCTGTGGAAATGAATTAAGCTTTCCTGTTTTAATCCCTGTCTTTCTTTAAGCTCGTTCATATAGGGCGATGTCTCTATACTAGGGACCCTAGAGGAGAAGCCTCTGCGTGTGTTGTTCTCGCGTTAGCCCTGATAGCGGCGTTTGTAGAGAACCCTATGTGCGCAGAGAAGTGTTCCCTTCGAGTGGAACTGCCTGGGGAGACGATAGAGCCTGAGTCCTGGTGTGCGTGGCTGGGGATAGCGAGGGAGAAGACCGGGTTAGCCTGGTTCTGCAGCTAGCCAGTGATGCATACGGTGAGTACCGAGTAGGACAGTCACAAGCATAGTCGCACAACCGGCTGAAACGTTGATCTCGCCAGCCTGCCAAAGATCTTGAGAAATATTAATCCGCATATTCACTAATCGCACGTATCCCGCATCCACTATAAGTGCTCCAAATAGTCACGTGCATGGTGCTTGAATAGTGTGAAGGGGTTTAGTGCCTGAGCCACTTCCTTGGTGAGTGCTCGTGCACTATTCATATTCTGAATTTAAATAGTAGCGAGTATTTTGAATAGTGCCGCGAATTTGAATAGTGAACGTCGAATTTAAATAGTGCTGTGAATAGTAACTTGAGAATTTTAAATTTAAATTTTGAGTTCGAGTTTGTAGCAGCGGTTTAGCGGAGTCCCTACGCAGTGGTATCAGAGCCTGGTTATTAAAATTTGAATTTAAGGGATTTACTTATATTGTCAAGTTTGTCAGTACAACCTCAGTCAAATACTTTACTTATATACTCTACTTATAATAGAAACTTTAGATAGTCAGATTCAATATTATGAGAAAAAAATTAAGTAAGATTCCTGAAGAATATAAAACCTCTATGACATGCAAATGGTGTGCCATAAGAGAAAAGGAACTCTACTTTAGACGAGAAATATGTAGGCTTAATAATATCAAGAAAGATAGAGAACTAAAGAATAAATACTTTAAAACACCTATTGTGATAAAGAAGCAGGAAGATGAGTTAAAAATAAAAGACAGAGATTCATAAAGTTAAAGAAGTTGTGCAGAAAAATAATATTGAATACATTACAAATGAAGAAGAGCAGTGGGAGATTAATAATAAGTTTTTATTAGAAAGTTATGAAGAAGAAAATAATGCTGAGAGTTACCAAGATTTTATAGACTCTTTAGATGATGAAGAGTTATGCAATCTAGATAATGCAATGGAAGGGTTAGATATAATATCTGAAAATATTGATAGCTCAATAAAAACAAAAATAGAATTAATGAATCAAAAAGACTGTGAGCATTATTGGATAAAAGGAAGAGATGATTATAATATAAAATGTACTTTTTGTATAGTTTACTCTAGTCAAGAAAATAGACTTACATGTAGTAAATGTTTAAAGCAAGCATGTGCTTCATGTTTAAGAATTACTAACCAAAAATGAAGACACGAAGTAGAACCAGAACTAGAAGATAAACTACTAGCAAGTAGAGTTAGAAATTTAGAGAATAGAATAAGTAGCCTAGAAGCAGAATTAGAAGAGCTAAAGAATAAGATAGAGCTCAATGAAGTAAATAAGATCGAAGAAAATGAAAGAGGCATGACCGAGTTAAAGGATCAAGCCATATCAAATAGAAAAACTGATAAAGCTATACAATTAAAAGAAGCTATAATAAACTTTGGTAGTAAATATATAGTTAGATTACCATTTAAAGAAATTATAGGAATAAGAGTACCTGTAAAAGTAAAATTAACGCCTAACATCTCCTATAAAATATTAGCGTTAGTAGACACTGGTTGTACAAAAAATATTATACATGATAAATATTTTGTAAAATGTCCAGAGATAGTTCATACAATAGATCAAGATAAAGCAGAAATATCTACTGATATGTCTGGAATAAAAAAGGTTCATAATCAACTAGCTTATGATGTTGAAGTACAAATAAATAACACAAAATATATAATGGATGAAATTACAATAAGAGATCTATCTATGATACATGATGATATGATATTAGGATTAAGATTTTTATAATTCTCTTTATAAACAACAATCATACATGAGCAAGGAATAACATTTATCCCTTATCAAGACAACATTGCATATATAACAGAAGTACGAAAGTCTATAAATTCTAATCCAGGAAAGACCAACCTAGAACTTCAAGGATCTGATGAAAATGTCTCTGATAATCATATAGATGAAGAGTTAAGTGAATGTATAGAAGAATTTCATATAACAAATTCATGCATAGAATGTATCAGTCTGCAATCATTAGCACCAAATTGGTATAGAGATATAAAATATAAAAATGATATAGATAAAATTGTAAGAAGATTGGAAGATATTCAAATAATCAGAGAAATACCAATGAAGCATTGGGATAAAAATGATATAGTATGTAAGATTAACATAATAAATCCTGACTATATAATCAAGACTAGCCCTATCGAAGCAACACCTAAAGATATAAAAGAATTTAAGATGCATATCGAAGAATTATTAAAATTATGAGCTATAAGAGAAAGCCGAAGTCATCATAGATCAGCTTCATTTATAGTTAGAAATCATGCTTAAATAGCTAGAGGAAAGTTAAGAATGGTTATTAATTATAAAAGACTAAATGATAATACTATAGATGATGCTTATAATATCCTAAATAAGCAGTAATGGATAAATAAAATACAAGGAAGTAAATATTTCTCAAAATTTGATTTAAAAGCTGAATTTTGGCAAGTAAAAATGACAGAAGAATCAATAGAATGGACGGCTTTCACATGTCCTCAAGGTCATTTTGTAATGCCCTTAGGATTAAAAAATGCCCCTGCTCTATTTCAAAGAAAAATGCAAAATATTTTTAATAAAAATCAAGAATTCATATTAGTTTACATTGATGACTTATTAGTATTCTCAAAATCCTATAAAGAACATATAGCTCATCTAGAAACTTTCTTTAGAAAGGTAGAACAGCATGGGTTAATATTGTCTAAGAGGAAAATGGAGATATGTAAGGAAAAGATAAACTTTTTAGGTCATGAAATAGGAGAGGGAAAATTTTATTTACAAGATCATATTGCAAAGAAAATTTTAGAATTTCCAAATGTCATGAATGATAAGAAAACCCTGGAGCAATTCTTAGGAATAGTAAATTATGCTAGAAATTATATTGAAAATTTAGCTAAGCTAGCAGGTCCATTGTATGCAAAATTAAGAAAAAATGGGTAAAAATATTTTAATTCTGAAGATATAAAGTTAGTAAGATCTATTAAAGAAAATGTCAAAGACTTAAAACCTCTAGAGCTACCTTTAGATGATAATTACTTCATTATAGAGACAGATGCATCCAAGTAAACTGGGGTGCAATATTAAAACAAAAACCACACAAGTACTCTCTAAAGTTAGAAGAAAAAATATGTAGGTATGCTTTAAAAAATATAAGCTAAAAGCAATAAATAATACGGATAGGGAAATTTTAGCTGTTATTAATGCAATAAATGCTTTTAGATTATATCTAGGATTTAAAGAGTTCACAGTTAGGACAGACTGTGAAGCTATATGTAGATATTACAATAAAGTCAATAGTAAGAAAAGTTCAACTAGAAGATGAGTTCTATTTGAAGATATTATTACTGGAAACGGATATAAAGTAATATTTGAGCATATAAAGGGTAAAGATAATACTTAGCCTGATATATTTTCACGATCTTATATTTTGCAGGAATGAAGAGAGGAACCAGCCCTATTGAGGGTGAATGT